TGGAATCTCGCCGTTGGGCCTGCTGACCAGCGACCTCTGCCGCCCGCTTCCTGGCACGGCGCCCTAGCATCTCCGCCTGTCCCCTCCACCCAGGCGCTTCCTGTCGAAGCCTGCCCGGAGGCTGGGGCTTTTCAACCTGTCATCCTTAACCTGAAGTTTGGATCTAGGTTTCGATTTTCTTATTAATTTAGAAAGTATGGAGTGCGTGCCTGACCTCACTTGTGCAGATTTCGCCTTCTCTCTTACACACACATCCTCACTCGCTAGCATTTTGTTCTTAATTTCTGTCTTTTTTCTTGCTCACTATTGTCAGTAAATGTGTCGCCATGATATCATTTTTTAAGAAAAAGTTTTTTTAAAGGATGGAAAACAATAAATCCTTGAAAGCTATGTATTAAGAGAGTAAAAGTTCATATCTGTTCTATTTTCTTGGTAGTTTGTTGATGTTGCTAAATCTACTTTCTTTTTGATCAACGTTCTGGCTTTTCTTTTTTCCATTGTTTTGTTTTTAAACCTTTTTGTTTATTGCTCTCCTTTTTTTTTTTTTTTTTTAAATTTACTGATTTAGAGAGAGAGAGATTTGCTGTTCGCCCACTTATGCACCATTGGTTGGTTTTTCAGGTGCTCTCAAGGGAGATGCACCCACCCTCTTGGTGTGTGGGCGACGCCCCAGCCAGCTGAGCGCCCAGCCGGGGCTTGCTCTCTGCGTTTAAAGCCAACCTTCCACTTCCTATCATTTAAGAGGCAGACGAATCTGCCCTAGTCACACTTATGACAACTGAAGTGTTCGTACCTAGTCCTTGCTATCTATTTCATTTATTTTTCATTTTCTATTTACCTTTCTTTTTATTTTCCTGCTCCTCATTTTATGCCCATTTGTGAACTGGCTGCGTTTAGTGTGCTACAGTTTTCTGTCCTATGTTTGGAATTATTCTCCCCATTCTGTTCAGCCCATTTCCATTCCGGCCAAGAAGCGCACACGCAGAGCTGGGATAACTGCGCAGGCGTGAGCCCCCAGCCGGGGAAAGGGAGCCGGCGGGGGAACCAAGGGTGAGCCAGGAGTTTTCATGACCCAACAAACACTTCAAGCAGAAGCTGACACCGCTAAGATGAAAAAGCCTGGAGCCCTCTGTTACTGAAGCTAAGCCCGCCCGTGGGAAGCCGTGGGGACATGCACTCAAAGGCCGGGGCCAGCGGCCCACCCCCAGCGTCTGCTTTAAGGCAGCACTGCCTCGCCTTCCCCCCAGCGCCTGCCAGCCGCTCCCTCTCCCACCTCCCTGCTCCCTGCTCTCGGCCCACCTCCTGCTAGCGAGGGGGGGACACAGGGCTTTGGAGAGAGAACTCGAGTGCGGACTGAGCGTGATCTTCATCGTGCGTCATGGGCGCAGGGCAGCATCAAGGGCATCGGGACAATCACATCGCTAGACAGACGACAGGCGGTGTGTCGGGTGCTCACCGCCTGGCACGTCTCTCGCTGTAAACAGTGAGCAGGGCACACCGTTCCTGGAACCAGGTCTCGAGAATTAGTCCATTACATGTAGTTCATGCAATTAAGTGGAAATGTGCTGGCTGCTTTGCCAGCAGGCACGCAAGTCTGAGATCTTACTAAATGAGTCAAATCTGACTATAATATCCCCGAGTCTGGGGCCCTGTGCCATCGGCTGTCACAGTGGAAGGGGGCTGTGGGAAGGAAGAGGCCCTAAGAGGATCTGGGAGTGTCAGCCAGGTCCCGAAAGGCTAACAGAGGAGCCCTGGGCGTGACCCTGGTGTCCCTTGAGAGATGCTGGCTCCTTCAGGGATCTGATGCCAAGGGTGATCTTCAACACGAAAAACAGAGACCAGAAGGAAAATGGCTGTGGGCAAGCCAGTGTGGTGCCCAGTCTGGGGAGCAGGGGAGGGGCAGGCCAGGGGAGGGGCAGCACAGCAAAGGGGGGACAGGGAGCAGGACAGTACCCAGATTTAAGTACCCCATGTGCTAGGCTTTGCGCTTGGTAATGCGTATGTGAGGGTCCAGAATAAGTCACCCCTATAATTAATAATAATAATAATTATTATTCCACCCTGCCTCTGTGGTATGCAGGTTGTTTTGAGCAAACAAACGGCAACTTCAGCCTCAAGCTCCAGAGACACTTGTCCCCACCCTTAACTGCCTAGAAGAACTTGAATTAGAGGCCTTGCACACAAGAGATTATCACTGATAACTTTTTGGACCCACGTACATGGCCAACTTTTATTTACTTAACATCTGCTTTTCTTATCCTGCAATGACCCTTTGCGGTCCCCAAGGCACATTACCTCACCCCAGCTCGGAACGTGGTGTGTGTCTCAGTCCCCTTTCCGCGCGTGAACCTCCCGGCGCGTGGGGTCTCTGACACGTCGCGGGTTCCTGTACACACGTAGGCACTGAACTGGCTTATTTTTTCTTGCTAATCTATTCTCGTCTATTTGGTTATTAGACAATTATTAATAATAATTATTATTATTCCTCCAGCCAGAGGAATCTGGAGGGTAGAGGAAAGTTTGTCCCTCCCCACACATGTGTTTTACAGTATAAACCTTAGTGATCCTTGTGACATGGGTAATAATGTCTCCATTTTAGCAATAATAAAACAAAAAGTAAAAAAATATAAGTGACTTGTCCCAAGTTATACAACTTCAGATTTCTCTGGCTCTAAAGTGCTATTCGTTCTACTCAACCTCTGTGGGACTTGCTTTCACTCCTTACAGAACCAGGGAGGCTATACAGATAGGGTTTCTTCCAGATTTTTGTCCTACCCACCTCTTATCTCTACTGCAATTTATGTAAACTTTTCCTTAAGCAGTCTCACTTGTTACATTTTTTACTGTGACAAAATGCACATAACATAATTCACCATTGTAACCATTTTTAAGTGTATAGTCCAGTGGCATTAAACACTACATTCACATGGATGTGCAACACCTTTTATTTTTAACAGATGTATTTTAGAAAGAAAAACCTGATCTCACTCTCATGAATGGAAACCAGTATTACTTTCTATAAACAGAAGTTAGCCATTAGAATAACATAGTGAAGACAGAAAGTTATTAACTTGCAGCTAGTTATCGTTGCCACTGAAGGCTCTGAGATGAGGCCTGCTTTTCCTGCACCCCCAATTTTTTTTCAGGGGAGAACCACAAGTGCTGGAGAGGTGTTAGAGACACACCAGCCCCAGATCAACACTCCTCCCTGGTATACTCAGGGAGTTGAAAGGGGGGTGAAGGAGGCATTTTCTCGCTGTGGTGTGATCCCATGCTGTGCCCAGGTTCCTCCTCCCACCTTGTCCGTCATTGAGCACCCCTGCCTCCCAGACCCACCACCACACAGTGGGAGCTGCTCCGCCCACCAAGGCCCTGTGACTCCTGGCCCCAGATTGTCGGTCCCCCTTTTCTTTCCAATCTGGGCCTGTGACTAGGAGCATCCTATGGACGAGTCCAGGACATTTCCTTTCCCATTTTCCCCAAGAGAAACCAGGGTCTCTCCTAGATGTCCTTCTCTCTCTGCATCCCATAACAAGGACTAGGTCCCCCGAGCCCTGCAAGCCGGCTGCCTTGGATGGCAGCACTTCATTGTGACTTGTGTGCGGCCCAACAGTCACCAGGCTGGGCCTCGGGGAGGTGGGCGACCAGTTGCTTGGAGTGAGTGAACTGAGGTCGTTGGGTGGAAAGACTGACATGAAAGCACCTGAGGTGGATCTCACGGTGCTGGTGGAAAATGCAGCAGCCACCGAGAGGCCGAGGCATCCGACCAGGGAGCTGGATTTCAGTGGGAAGATGGATAGTTGGGTACCCATTTTCCTGGACAATGATAGTAATGCAATGTGGGTGCCTGTGTCTCCTTGGAAGCACAGAGAGGCTGGAAAGAACACAGAAAGGACTTGTTGTCTCCAGCTGTGCACAGGTGCTCTCTATCAGCATCATAGAAAACATGCTCATTACTGAAGCTGTGGATGTTTCAGTAAAACAGCTGCGGCACTGGGAACACAGGGCTTGGAATGAAAACCACAGGACGCCTGGTGAAGAGTCGCTCCGAGAGTAGTCAGTGGCTCGGAGGTCCTGACGGGAAGGTCTCTCTGCCCCCCTCCCCTCCTGGGCAGAATCAACCCTCCCTCGGAGCCCTGCCTTGATGTCTGCCCGACATGAAACATGCTTCTCACCTGGGGCTTGGCCTCATCTTTGCCCTTGTAGTAGAAAAGCTGGTCCCCACGCAGCACAAACCAGCGCTGCTGCCAGTTCTTCATGATGCTCCTCTGCTTCCTCAGCCAGCCGGCCTTCAGCACGGGGCCCAGCCCGTGGGGGCAGGGTGGCTGCCCAGGGCTCCGGCTCTGCTCCCCCATCACCAGGCTTTTGGAGCGGGCTGGAAGCCAAGAACACACCAGGTGAGTGGAAAGGATGCAGGCCTGCTGTCCCCCTCCTTGCATCCTGCCCCCTCCTGGCATCCTGCCTTGTACGCTTGGCCTATTTCCCCTCGGCTTCAAAGGGACACTGGCTGGAGTGCCTCAGCAGCAGCATCCCAAGGTTACCTACCTGAGGCAGGTGACAGCTTGCCTGCCCGGTTAGTTTCTGCCATGTCTCTGGGATCCCATGTTCTCCATTTCCCCAGGTTTCTTCATCTATCACACATCTACCCCATGCATCCATCCATGTACCCACACGTCCGCCCATGGATCCACACATCCATCCATCCATCCATCCATCCATCCATCATCCGTCCATCCATCCACCCACCCATCCATCATCTGTTCAATGGCCATTCATTTGCTCATCAGCAACTATTTATTGAGCACCTACTTGTCCCAGTCACTGTTCCAGGTGCTGGGGGTTAAGCAGTGAATAAGAGACATAAGATTTCTGGTCAAGATGGTGAAGTGGGCAAGTGCTGGGCTTGCCTCCTTCCACAACCACATCACAGTTGCAGCTAAACTGTAGACCGACTACCATTGAGAACCGCCTGATGGCTAGCCACACTAAAGATATAAAGAAGCCGCAGCTCTGGCTGGTGTGGCTCAGTGGGTTGGAGCACCATTCTGTACACCTAAAGGCTGTGGGTTCGATTCCCGGTCAGGGCACATACCCAGGCTGCAGGCTCCATCTCTGGCCGGGGTGTGTGTGGAAGGCAACGGATTGATGTTTCACTCTCACGTGGATGTTTCTCTCTCTCTCCCTCTTCCTTTCTCTCTCTCTAAAAAAAAAAAAAAAAAAAAAAAAAAAAAAAAAATATTT